GCTATAGTAAACACGGTTTATAGTGAACTCCCGGATATAGTGAACGAAATGTTCGGTCCCTTAAAGGTTCACTATAGCGGGGTTTGACTGTATATATATATATATATATATATATATATCCGAACTCACACTTTTGATGGATTTTGTGATTTATTGACTGTCGGAGGATTTTAAATTATTGCTAAAATTCGAGACATAGAGTTCTATGACAATATCGCGAATATCTCCTGGAAATAGTTAAAAGTGAAATCAAAGTACTTCGACGTAAGGAGCAGCAAGAGACTGAAAAAATTCGGTTAGTACGTATTATTTTATTTTATAACCATCGTTAAACAGCCGAAATAATTTTTAGTTACGATCGAATGTTATTTAGAGAACGAATATTATCATAACGGAAAAGAAGCATTGTTAAAACTGTCTCCCAATTTCAGGTTTACGATTACCAAAGCTCAACTACGTAGCCTAGTAATTTTGAACCCAATCCCAATTGGACAAGGGAAGTTGATCGAGCATATGGAGAAGTTTGCCTTTGTATAGAGCTTTTTGATGGCATCCTCATTTGCGTTACTTGGAGAGGAAAACCACTAACACCTCTCATGGTTAGCTCCACGGCAAGGGGACCTTGATCCGTCTACCTCTTAGGATATTTCACGTCAGCACGTCAGCACTGTGGTCGGTGAGAGGCGGTTGCGAAATTCTCTCTTCTCTAAAAAATATTTTACAAAAAACGTAGTAGTTGGCAGGCCTGACTCTGTAAGACCTGCGACTTGGACAGTGAAGTTTTTAAGCACTGGCAAAACTAAGCACATTAAGTTTATTTTTATAATTATATTGCTTATTTTTAATTATGTTGCTTCTTATGAATATTTTTATACCACCTTGAACATTGTGGGGTGCTAGAATTTCTGGATTGGTATCTATGAAAACTGAATGTAACTGTTTAGTTTTTTGTTTTTGTTTTAAGAGTTCGATTCAGTTAAATCAATTTGAGTCTCCATTGCCTGAACTCCGTAACCAACCGACATGAGTCTTGAGCGTCCACCCATAATTGAACAAAAACAAATTTAAAATTCTGTGACCGGTTTGAATAAAAGGGTTTTGTAAGGAACAAAGGATCTAAGATTTGTGATAAAGGGCTCAAAGGATTAAGTATTTCAAGGGTTTTAGTTTAAGGGTTAGGGTTAAGAGTATATAAGAATGAATGAATTGTTTAAAATGACGACGCTATACTTACGTCCTAAAATTCCCAATTGCGGATCTGAAATAAATAAAAGTGAAATATAATATCATTTAATGATTCAAATATGATATCATTTAATGTTGAATAATATTATGTTTCTAAATAATTAAAATTTACAATGATGAAGAAATGAATATTTATAATTCAGATTTTCTTACCCGCCATTGCTGGGGCTACAATGAAAAAATAATTATAGATTAGACATGATAAAAATGCTTATATATTTATATTATATAAAAGAACCGTCGTTCAACAGCTGACCCAATTTAGGGTTTACGTAATGTTCAAGTTCGTAGTCTCGTAATTTTGAACCCAATCCAGAAGACAAGGGATCCTGGATCAAGTATTAGGTAAAATTCGCCTTTGTGGAGGACTTTTTGATGGAACTAACCCGCATTTGTGTTACATGGAGAGGAAAGCCACTAAAACCTTCCACTGTTAGTCTGACGGTAAAAGGTGTCTAGCCCATGAGCCGTCTACCACTGAGGATATTTTACGTTAGCACTATGATCGGTGTGTCTCGGGTGCGGAATTCGAATCGATGAGCTATCGTTGGGATCGAAGCCGGGTTACCTCATTAGGATTTCCTGAGCCACCACAGCTCAAAGTATATAAAAGAAATCTATATATATGGAAAAAAATCACTACGTTTCTTGATATTTGTTTACATTAGAATTACAGCAGGCTTGCGTAACATACGGTTCACGGGTAGGATGCGGCCCACCAGCACTTATTTGTGGCCTACGAAGTCTTTGTGTAAATCTTATTCATATTTTGTTCTTGTAACTATTTTGTTCTTTATTGCCCATTTTAAAATAGATTTTGGCTTCACAATTCAGCATTCCTTATTAAATTCTCGAATGATTAATTATTTCGTTTTTTAGTATTCTAGCATTATTTATATTTTTGTTTGTTTGTCCCGGGCTTATTTTATGTATGTGGTCTATAGCACTTTATATGATAAAGTAATAGATTTCGAGCAGGAATAAAGTAGTAGTTTATTGATTGATCTATTTTTAATTATTTTGTTTTTGCTAAAAGCAATTTAATAAAAAAAAGTTATTTTCAATTCCAAATATGTAAATTTTAATTATAAATAACGTACAGCTGTCTAATTAGCAATACCAACAGCATAAAAATTGCTCATTTTATGCATAACAGCATTATAAATTGTCTAAATTCTCCTCCATTAGCCCTATTGACATTCTGCTTTCATTTAATTCAGTGTGAAAATTTAATCGAAAACATGATATTACTCAGAAGGTCATTGAACTTGTTTTTGACTTCATTTGATTTAGTTTAAAAAATACGGAAAAACATTATTTACACTGAAAACTTAGTTTCACTGCTTTTAGATGATAAAATTTAAGTGTTTCTCTTTCCATCCCTCCATCCCCATCAATAAATGGAATCAATGAGTTCGGAAACCGGTCATCTCTAACAAAACTAATTTCACAACAAAGACAACAAAAAAAACTGAATAGTTAAGTGCATACCTGGAAACGATACTTTTAAAAAGTAGCGAGTAAAACTACGAGTACTATAAGCAAGAGCAACGATTAAAAAGTAAAATGCTCTGATTTTAGTAACGTGTGAGCAGTACAAGTATAAAACAAAAAAGTACTATAAAAAATACTAAAAAAATATTTTAAAATGCATTTCGAGGAAATCAAAAATTCATGGAAGTCGTAAATTTTATTAAAAATGGAAAAAAAAATTAGTTAAAATGCATTAAATTTTAATTTAAAGGTATAAGGGTCCCGCAGTGGACTGATCGTTAAGACACGGTTCCCAGAAGATCACCGAAGTCAAGCATCACTGGCTGCGGTCAGTGTGCGGGTGGGTGACCACTTGGATCAGCCTGCGTAGGGACCGAGGGTGTGCGGTATTGGTCCTCGTTAAACTGTGCTACCGTAAAGTGCTCGACTTCGCGCGCGGGTCGTCGGGCTACCGAAGCGGGGGTGCCATCCCCTCCGCAGAGGATCAAAATTGTGATGGCATGACTTCGGATCATCCTCCGGGATGTTTCCCAGACCGTCGCCAATAGCCCATTGTGCAGCTCTAGTGCGACGTGAATTAACAGCAACAATAAAGGTATAAGGCTTTGAAATGCAAGAAAATGGGACACAATTCTAGTCAAATAGTAAACGTTAAAGGAAACTAAACAAGAAATCAAAATTCAATGCTTAGTTATAAAAAAAAATTTTTAATTATGCTCATTTTAAAACTATTAAATCTTTAGAAACTTTGCTTTTACTTTCAGAATTTTTAGTAACAATTTAATTTGTTGAGCATATTCGTTAACATTATGATTTTTATTTAAAGAAATAAGTTTAAAAAGAATGTTGTATTCATATACATTTATAATCCATTAAAGTAAGAGTTTCACGTTCCCTCCCACCAGCCGCCCTCTCCCGGCTGGACGGCTGGTGGGAGGGAACATCTTTAAGGATTACAATTCCTCGGAACGGATTCCGAGAAATTGTAATCCTTAAAAATGTTTGGAAAAGCTGTTAAAAAATATATATCACATGATATGTAAAAATTAATAATAATAAATTTAAAAAATACTTTCTTAAAACGAAAACTTTTAAAAAAATTCGGAAAAGAAAAGTAACGATATTTGTTACAAATACTTGTACTTTTTCCTCGAAAAAGTAACAAGAAAACAAATACAGTACTAAATTTAAAAAGTAATGAAGTGCAAGCAAAAGTACGTGCTTTTTACTTTTACTTTCGTTACAAGTTCCAGCGACCAGCTGGAACTTGTAACGAAACCGTAATCGTAATTTGAAACCGGGTCATCTCATTGAGAGAAAAGAGCTCTACCCCCATTGCCACCACGGCTCTTGCTGGAATGATTTGATTTCATAACTGGTGGTCGGTACGAACCGGGTGCGGAATTTGTATCGAATAGCTATCGCTGGTATTCAAACTCGATTCACCTCATTGGAAGGAAAACGCTCTATCCCCTATTCCACCATCTATTTTAGGAGATATTTAAAAAATAAAATAAACTAGAATAAGGTTGAGCATTTTTTTTTCGATATATCTCCGCACGCGGTGGTAGGAAGAATTTAAAAGCTCATTCTTGAAACTTTTCATCACTGTACAAACTAATACAACAAATCATTAAATCAAAATTACCCTAATTTTTGTAACCATTATAAATAATTTTTGACTGGACTGGATTATACGGTTTAAATATTTCCCGTATGTCTTATAGTGGTAATATAATCATTTTATACCAAGTTTAACTCCTTAACTTGTGCGCTCAAGTTAATTCGAGCTCGCTAAGCAGGCCAAACTGCGAACACTCGAGATGATTCGAGCGGCGTTGTATTTTATGATGCTATAATTTTTCCCACTCGAATATAATCGAGAATTGAAAATAACAATGTGAAAGCTAAGAGAAAAAGAATCGTTTTATTGATATAGTATATCATTTACATAGGATTGTAAGCTATAACATTTATTTATTCGCGAATAAAATATACAGAGATGCCAACTTTCTCCGGACAGCAAATATATATTTTAAAGTGGTAGTTTATCAATTGTAATTCTTTGTTTAATAAATTCCATTTAGTAGATTTTTATCCACCACTATTTCTGAATAATTCGTAGGCTTATATAATTCTCCACTCTATTGTACTCAGGCGCTCGCTAACCCTCGGAACGGCTTTCGCAGTTCATTTCGGATTGCTTTGCACTTCGATGCTCGCTTTACTCGCTCATTGGATACGTTCTTAACGTCTAGCTTTTGTATAATTTTTTGAACACTGAAGTTCCAAAAACTTTTCACTGTAGAAAATTCTAAACCTGTGCATTTCAATATTAATTTTAAATTGCAAAGAGTTCACATATTTTTCTTAGTATTAGCGTTTTATATAATGTAGATTAACCATATGCTGCTCACTACGTGCTCTTGCGCGCAGAAGCCCATCAATTAAAAATGAAAACTGTTGCCAGCGCGAGAAAAGAAATATCATCAGTTTTATTGATACATACATATTAGCGTTTTATGTAATATAGATACTGCAGGTTACTCGGAACTGCCAACTTTCTATGCTTTTCTAAAAAATATCTTCGAGTGAAAGTTTATTTGTTATTAATGAATGATTCTTTATTTTATGAGTTTGATTTAAATTTAATTTCCCCAACACTTCCAACATTTCCCCAACATCTAAAGGATTCACAAGATCGTACGAAAGACCTTTGAGCGTCAGTTCTCTCTCGGTGAGGTTTTTACAATGTTGGCAAAATTACCAACAATTCGTGAAGCTTTAATTTTCATTTCTCTCTATGAAGAATTATTCTAAAAGCTTAGTAGTTAGCAACACTATATTCTTTTAATAGCAATCTCACTTACCTAAAACTGCCAAAAGGGCTATGACAACAAAGACTAAGCAAAGTTTGGAATTCATGATTCTAGTTTCGTTAACAAATGAATGTGTAATTTATTTCCACTTATAAACTCACTATTTATACCGGAATTTTTAAATTTAAAAAAAACTTTTATGTATTTGTTGAACATAAGAATTGTAAAATTTACTAAACAATCATAAATCTTTTTATTGATTATTCAGATATGCATAAAGATTTTGAAAAATAAATTACATAATAAGTATTTTTCGTATAATAAAACTGTTTGCTGCATTGCATGTTTATAAAAAAAATCAAATTAATATATTGACATTAAAATGTAGGACTTCTCGATATCCAACTCATGTCACAAATCGATATAATATGACAGCAGTTCAAATTTTAATATTTATACGAAACCTTAATAAACCTTTTATGTGATACTCGTACTTTATGGAATAATTTTATTACAAATGAAGTATTTTATTATTTTTGATAGGTTATGTGCAAAACATTTATAGATATTTTTTTAAGCATTAAAGACATATTTGTTTGAGGAATGTTAAAATTAAAGAGTTATGAAAATTTTTAGGACTGCACTTAAAAAAATTTTGAGCATTCAATTATTACATTCCGTATTCTAGTATTGTATTTAGATTTCGTACTGTATAATCTGAGGATTGCGCTATATTAAGTGTTACGTGCGGAATATATATATAAATAATTTTAGGAAATTCTTTAATGTATTTAACTGTATTCCTTTCTTTATTCTATGTTTTTTTTCCTATTTTTCTTATGTATTCTATGTAATTCAAAAGTAGTGAAACTGGATTTTAGCTTAAGACGGAGCAGGAGACTTTTATTAAAAAAAAAGTTTTTTTCCCAAACAGTTGGGAAATGAAAGAAAAGTTTGTAATGTTGTTAATTATTTACAGTGCTTTCATTAGATATTTTGAGCAATAGGGAACAGTAATTGATAAGTTTTTTAAAAAGTTTGGAGCAAAAACTTTTAACATCAGAATTTTCGGTCTGAAAAATATCATAGATTTGATGTCATTGTTCAAAAGCCACTTTGTGGTGCAAGAAATTTCAGCACAAAAAATTTAGTTGAATATAACTCTTACAAGAATTTACTCTGCTCTTAATTGTTTAGTATTTTGTTCAGTGATTCAAGCTTATTTATTTTTACACATGTTCTTTAAAAACAAACTTTCATATTTGAAAAAATAGATTTCAATTAATTTTTTCAGTTTCTGTTGAAACTAAATGTTGTTGTACTTTAATTAAGATGTAGATCTACTAATCTCAAATATGTAAAACATGTAAGAAAGTTTTGGAAATGAATAATTTATTAGTAATCTAACATACTTATTGCTCTAATAATCAATTATATTTACAATATTATATTTAAAAAGCTATTAAAGAAAGTAGCAAGCATACTTATAAAAAAATTCGAATATTTTTGTGATTAAAAATAAGATTTCTGTATTTTAATTTTAATAGCATCATCATGTGGTATTAATTAATTTTTTATTTACATCATTATTATGTTTTCATACAGATAATAAAAATTATTTTTTCAACATGATTTTTGTAATTTATATATATATTATATATATATATGGGTCATTCTAACGAAAACTGTC